CCCCTACCACCCCCCTACTTTTAATACTTTAATTTAAACCCTCAAGTTATCATAAATACACTTTAACCCATTTTTAATATTATAAATACCTTCTATCCCTTATTATTTCTTACAAAATCATCTATTCTCTCATCTATTTTCTATATCCTCTCAATCTTAAGTCTTAATTTTTTATTCCATTTAAGTCTCATATTATATCATAATACATATGTTTCAATTCTAAATTTTCATATTATATCATAATATATATATAATTCTCATATTTGCTATCAAGTATTGGAGTTCCAAATTACTAGTTACAATAAACTACAAGCTTCAAGAATCGGTTATAACGCCTGCTATTAATGCAGACGTTTGGTACATTCGTTTCATAATATTTCTATTTTATTTTTCGTCATTAATTTGTGTGTTATTATTATTTTTATATTACACTTTACATATAATTAAATATGAGTTCTAGCAAAAAAGATACCAGTAAAGGAAAAGAGAAAGAACCAGGTGGCATTTAAATTATTTAATTTTAATAAAAAAAATAGTAAGGAAAAAATTAAGAGTAAATGTGGTGGTACTTCTTCTAAATCAATGTCTAGAGTTAGATTTAATACAAATGATTCTACTTATGTTGATGATACTTCTTATGATATTGATTCAAATGTTCAACTCAATCATGAAATTTTACAACAAATTTATGGTGATATTAATCCTTATCTTGATGAAAATTCAAGTGAAGAAGTAGAAGTTGGTTCGGGAGAAGAGGAATTAGAAGATACACCTACTACTCCTACAAGGGAGAAGGTGAAGTATCAACGCCCTAAAAACTTCTGTTTGTGTGGCAATTTATGACTTTAGATAAGGAAAACTCTATTGTTATTTGTAATAAAGTGTAAAACAACCTTTTAAACATAAACAGGGTGGAGGTCAAGGTGGGACGGGGGATTAAATAGACATTTGTTATCTTGTGTGCTGATTCAATATAAAAGAAGCTAAATCATTAGCCGATAGAAAAAAGGGAATTTCAGTTAATGATTTTGATATTAATGTTAATGAATCAGTAGGGGCTTCTAACATGGTTCAAGGAACATTAAATCCTTTTAACCCCGA